GGGGCCAGGGCAAACTTAGACCCGGTTGGGTAATTGGCTGGCCACTACCCTGGTGAGGATTGTGGGAGAGGCCCAAAAGACAGTACGTCTGCCACCCAAGGTATGAACTAGGTAAAGCCTATGGCCTAAGGGGCCGGCTCCAAGAGGGAGCGAGGTGGTACAAGTTGTCGACACGTGAAAGAGACCCTGTGTGAGAGGCCCTACTGAGAGGAAGGCAGTATGAATGTGAGTATATCTGAGGCCTGACAATGAGAGCTAAGCTTGGTCTGACTGTAGGCCGGGAGCACTATCGTCTGGATGCCATCTGCGAGGCTTGGGCTGTGGTGTAGGGGAGGAACGGAGCCACAGATAGTGCCCCCTGGCATCAGGGCAAGAGTGGGCAGCCTCTCGCCTTAATTAATATCCTAATTAATTAACAAGGCATGGCAGGTGTGCCCAAAGGCAAGTGGGTAAACTAGCACTGTGACTAGTTGGGGAGCCCCACTTTGCCACAATTGCCATGGGGAAAATGGGTATGAGATCATTCCACTAATAAGCACTGAAGACAAAGTGAACAACCTGAGAAAATCCAAGTAGAACAAAAAAAAAAAATGAAATGAAAATAAAATAAGATTGTGTTCATCAGTCTCAGGAATCAAATATTTTGAGTGTAAAATGACTTGACATCCTGGGAACACATGGAGTGACTCCAAGGAGCATAATCTATACTTTCCAGTAAATACATTTTTACATACAAATTCAGTTTCATAATAGCTATAAGGCACTAAAACTGCTTCTACACAAAGACAAGGGTGTATGCATGAATAACTTATTTGGCACTTGATAGGAAAAAATAATCTGGAAAATTACTCACAAGTAACATTTGACCAGTTCTATTTGGGAAGAGTTGTCAGGTGATTAAAGTCACTTGATCTTTGGGATTCTTGAGCTGTATCATATGCCTTTATAGCTGCAATTGCCTGATACATCTTATTAACTGAATGTTCATTTTAGATGGTGTTTCACTTGAAGTCAGGATTTCGCTAAATTTACTGAACAGTTATAGCAAATTGATATTAAAAATCAGGGTTATGTAGCCAATGCTTTGCTAGAATGGCATGATTTCATATATGATAAGAGGTAACATTCATTTTGGTTGTTCCTTACCCAAAATCTATAGAGGCCAGTGAGAGTCTTCTGTTTGCTTGCACCTGTGGCTGAATTTGCCTTGATGTCTACATCAAAACAAGTCAAGGAATTTGCTTTTTCAATAATGTTGCATATGGAGTTTCTGAGACGTATATGCTTATTTTGCTTCAAAGATTCTTGAGCCTTTGCTGTGCAGCATTGTGCTGAAATTTCAAGGAAAGGAAACAAAGAATTTGAGGTCAGGGATTTTTCATGTCTGCCACTGTTTTGGTTTTTCCTGTGCTTTTTCTGGTTTGGTGTTTTCATCAAGTGGACAGAATCTTCCACCAAATTGAAGTATATAATTCAGATATCCTGCTAGCCTTTCTATAATATTTTATGATTTATAAACTATGTTTGAACTGCCTGTGAAAATCTGAAACCACAGATGGAAAAATCTGAAGCATAACATTCTTGTGGTATAAAATTACGCTTTTTACACTGCCTGATGTTCACTGAAGCCTTCAGCTTATGTTCCAAATGTTTTCTCTATATTTAGCTCTGATAAGTCCATCTATTGTTATCACATTTTGGTGGTTATAGCTTAAAGAGAACCAAGGCAACAGAGTTTGGATCTACTTTTGGCACTTTTTATTGCTCTACAAGTCAGCTAGACTAAATGCACAAAACTGACATGGAAGTTGTTGCGACAGTAATGTAGCATGTTTGTCTAACTCTTCAAAAATGACTAAAGTTGAACAAAAAGCAAGTAAGAATAAACTATTATTGTGTCTCATGTAATGATTTTTTCCAGTTGTTTGGCTTTGACAATTCTATGTCAACCCTCTAGCACTGTATTTTTGTGTTTTGGGTTTTTTTAACAACAGAAAACAAAGTCAGTTCTTCCCGTCAAGATGCACTTTTGTTTCCTTGAGGCTGACAGAGGGAAACTGTCACTTACAATGGGGTAGGAAGTCAATCACAGGTTATTTCAGTGCAGTGTCCCATAACATTGCAGTGGCTTTCAGATTTCAGCTGTGCTTTGAGAGGGTGCATGCAGCAGGATGCTGGATGCTCCAGGCTGGCTCAGCAAAGTTGCATGAGCATGTGCTCAAACATAAGCATTTGCATGGACCCAGGAGTGCTCCTCTGTTTAAACCTGAGCACTCAGGTCAGTGGCTTTCAGCTTTTTTAAACTAGAGGCCCCACTCAGAAAATGCCAGCTCTTAAATTTGCACTCAAATTTTTGACTACTGAAAGATTAATAGAGCAATTCTTCTGCTGCAAGGGTCTCAGAAAGCCCACAACAGGTTAGGAATCAGAACTTGTAGAGGTGATATCTTTTATTAGACCTACTAGATTTTTGCCAAAAAATGTCTTGAATTGCAAGCTTTTGGGCACAAATACCTTTTCTCAGGCATAGGAGAAAAGATTGTAAAAGTTCTTCCAGGTAGAAATGAAAGTTCATATTTCATAGGAGAGCTAAAGGTGTTTGGCACAGTTCATTGTATGCAGGTCAGGATTTTTTTGACACGGTGGCTTCCTACTTGAAACCTACAGGTTTACCTTGTGAATGGTGCTTGCATACCTCAAAAGTGTTTAACCTTGAATGGCACTCTTGAAAGGACCTCAAGGCCTCCCAGGCAGCCTGGTTGAGAATCACTGGCTCAGGCGCTTCGCTGGTTCAGTGCGCAGGTGATGTCTGAAGCAAAGCCCACTTCTTTGTTCCCGAGCCTGGCTTCTAGTCTGGCTGAAACACATTTTACTTTTGGCTGAGAGGGAAACGAGCTGATTCTGGGTTCCTGAGATGGGGCAAGTCCCAGCCTGGAGGCCAGTGACAAAAGCCGAGTCATAGGGAGGGGGGGCGAACATCCCATCCGAGGTGGCGGCTAGATATGTTTATTAGCCCAGCAGCTGAGTCCCAGCCAGGCGTCGCTCTGCGGATTCCCGAGTGAGTCCTTGTAAGTGCATGGGAGCTGGGCTCACGCACTTCACCCCACCCCTGCCAGCGAGGCTCTGGGGGCGGGACCTTGCCGCGCTCCCTGCCCGGGAGGCAGAGCCCGGCCCGCGGCGGGGGTTACTTCTAGTTACGTGGTGAGAGGCCGGGCAGGCGGGCAGCGAGTCTCGGCCGGGAGCGTTCGGATCGCCACGCAGGAGCCCGCGTGGAAGTGCACAGGGCGGCGAGCGCGGGGCGCTCTCTCACACACAGCTCGCTCGCTCTCTCTCTCACACACACACACCTCTCACGCACAGATCGCACAGCTCAGACGCATACAGTCACAGACACACACTCAGATCACGCACAGCTGTCAGGCGGCCAGACACAGCTCACCCCGCCCGCCCCGCAGCGAGGCCGCGCCCATTGCCGGGGGAGCGGCGCGGCGCG